GTTCAGTACTACAGCGTTTGAAAAATTAAGCTTGGATGGACCGTACCGAGTTTAAAAGAGGAGTTATATCCCAGAAAATATCAACTCTCGCGATATAAAGGCGGTCTATCTTGAAAATTTTCGCGGGATCGCGACAACGCGCGCGCGCGGATTAAAAAGTTCCCGCGTGTTTGCGCGAAACTTGAGGGGCACATACGGCCTCAAAGGGGACCGGCCGCGAGGCCGCGCATGATAAATGCGCCGTGATCGAGTCGCGAGATAAATGAGGTAGTGCGCGCGGCTCGCGTGGGTGGATGTCTCTGCATGCACGGAGTGTACCTCGCTTTTACAAAACTCTCATCCTAGATTTAAACCTCCCTATACTCGCTCATAGATCGCGCTTATGCATACACGCGCTCGGCCGTGTGTGTCTTTTTACTTCTTTTTTTATTTGATCCCGGCTCTGTGTGTATATGTCGCGGGGAAGGATCTCTACCAAGGTCTCTGTACCTTCTACGAGACATAAACGGCTGCATTACATTTGGAAAAATTGAGTACTTCATATACAAGAACAGTTAATAAACGGAACAACGGAATTTTCTCTTTGTGTTGCGCTTCTGTAGAGAGAGAGAGAGAGAGAGAGAGAGAGAGAGAGAGAGAGAGGAAAAGAGAGAGAAAGAGAGAGATGACACGGCTTTATGGGAATGTGATGTGTGTCGATTTTGTATGACGAGGACGGAAGGCAATCAGGCGCAGATGCTAATGTATTATACGCGCGTTTAATATTAAATTTAACGCGATGGACGACATGCATTTCTGCTGATAGTAACAACGACGGAGAGAAACTTATCTTACAAGAATAATCTTCAACATTAAAATTCGTATACGATTATCTTTTTTTTGCACACTCGTTTGCTTTGATTTTGCAATAAATCAGGTTTTTGGATGTCTCGAGTCCAGTTTCAAAAGTGGGTTAGCGATTTTCCGGCCAAATATTTTTGACATATGTGGCAAACTGTCTGATTCATTCGATAATTTGTCTTTCGCATCGCTCATTTTAAAGTTGTTTGTCCATTCGACGTGCCAGAAATATTAGTCTCGATAGCGATTCAACTTTTTTTTTTTTACTTCATCATTCACGCACAGCGTTTGGCATGTGGTAATCAATGTCAGTCCCGTGTGTGTTTAACGGTTAAAAGTTGTGCTACACGTGCGACGGTCTGCGTGTGCGGTCACAACTGTTAGATTTAGATACATTGTAAACATCGATACTATCGATACGATAAGGCCGCGAGGTGTGATACAGTTTCGTCCCGGATCGTTGCGCATGGCGTAATGCTATCTCTATGTAATACGATCTCTGCGTTACAAGGAGTCGACTCGCAAAGAGCGGATTAATAATGGCTGTGACGCGAATTACAGTGCTGCCTGGATACCAGTCCAATACGAACCTCCGCGCGCATGTTTGCTGCAATAATCCCGTCACAAATTTCGTTCATACTTTTTTATATCTACAAAGAAAAGTGACGGAGATGTCCTAAATTAGAAAATTATTATTAAATCTTTATCCCTCTGCATAAAAAAATTATATAATACATAAAATGTTAAATCCTTTTTAATAAATCTCTACTTTCTTTATACGTTCGCGAATGGTATGCATAGATGTTTCGCAATAATAGTGAGTAAACAATAGAGAACTTGTTCAAAATTACTTGCCACGCATGTTCAGAATGCGAAGAGTTGAGATTAACGAAAGATCGTTCTCGTCGTAGCACGCCGTTACGATTTTACGATCGCATTAGGAAGCACGTCAGAAAACACATCCCGCGCGGAATCTCGCGTGAATACGTAACATGTAATTTTCGCGTGGTCCGCACTTTACGAAGCGCCATTTACATGCTACGTCGCTAATAATCGATAAACTGTTAATTAAGCGAAACGTTACGTACGCCGCGGAAAAAAAAGAACGTGCTGGTGTACATGGGAGACGAGTTGGGCGCGATTTGTGCCCGGTACTCTATCATCATCATCGTGTGAAAAATCTCTTTTAAATCGTCCGTCTAATTGCGATTTGACGAGCTCGCGTTCGCTTGGCCCGCGGCTTTTCGCCGGGAACGAGATGAATCCTGTCGCGCATTGTCCCGACCTTCGTTGGCCATTAGAGAGCATGATCGATGATCCGAGCGGGACGATACAGAAGCCCACGAATTTCACTGTAAAGCCCGGCGGCGTATTCATTTCAAAGTAAAACAAATCTTTCAATTTTTAATGCGCATATACGTATTAAATTGATTCATATGAAACTTTATCGTTGAGTTTTTGACACAACGACAATAAATATCTCAAGCAATGTTTCTTTCAACGGTCTCCCGATTCCTACCACGTGTAATACTTATTAACTCTTCCGCTCGTTCACGCAGCGAGTATCCTCGCACGTAGGACGACGGCTCGTTAAAGCCGATCGGTCGATTTATTTATCGCGAGCGAGGAGCGAGAAGAAGAGGGCTTACAGGAGATTGGCCCGAGCATCCGGTGTCCGGATCACCCGGATGATTGATAGTGATTTGGCAGATAGCGATCTAGGAACGCGAGGAGGTGTGCACCTGATCGAAAGAAAGAAAGGAGAGGAGGGAGAGAGAGAGAGAGACAGAGCGGCAAGGAGATGGCAGGGCGAAGGTTATTCTTGTTCGGTCAGCGGGGATGGGCTAAGACAGTCGAAGAAGGCAGATAGGTGACTTCTGCGGGACTATAAGAAACCCGTAGAACCTATTATCCGTGGTGGCCAACGGCTATCGGCGGGCACCATCTCTCCGTGTGGGTGTCCGCGTCCGGACGCCCTTAAGACCCCATAAGTCGTGGCCGTGCCACCCCGTTGAGAAAACCGCCCCCGCGGAGTGGTGCCTAGACACCTCCTTAGACACCCTTTCAATTTCCTATATACCCGATAATCATCTGTCCGACCGGATCTCGCCACGGGGAGGGCGTCGCCGTGCTCGCGTTTCTTTCTCTCCCCAGTATATATACCTTTTTACCTCGCGTATATGTGTATCACACACACATACATATTACTCGGTCTATTCGCGGCTTTCCCTCCGAGAAACCTCGATTGGCCCAGATAAATCCTTTATCGATGATGGTTTTTGGGAGACAACCCTACCGATGACTCATTATTGCCTCTCGATTGCTATAAATGATATCACGGGATAAATTATACAGAGAGAGAGAGCTATTGAACAACAAATTGTTATATAAATCAAATAAGAATCCACTCTGCTATCGTTAAAATAGAAAAAAAAACAAGAACAATACGTACTTTTCTTTGTCCTGCCGTTGCATCACTATTGATAGCCTAAGAAACGCATATACGTATCGTAGGCATTACAAAGTTTCATTTGATACGCGCGGAAAAAAAGAGTAAAGGTTATCTGGCTGCGTTCTCAATAAAAAAAAATGCTTGTATAATTACGTATGCAAATGTCGTCGTTGCTCGTTCGATTCTTCGACGGAAGAAGCGACAGAGTCTCCTGTCCGTAAGAATATCGGTCGTAACGGCTGCTCATGCGGCAGAGATCGAAAGCCACCGTCGGACAATATTGTTTCCCTCGCGGGGTGTAATCTATAGCGCTTAAATTTTCTAAAGTACTCAATCACCCGGCGTATTTTCATGCAAACGCCGTCTCACGGGATTCTCTCTCCCCTCTCCCTTCCCCCTTTCTTGCCCCCACCTTTCCTGGAGGACCCACGGAGAAACGGACGCACAATAAAGCCGTGACGTATGAATCCACTGGCGAAATAAACTTCGCGCGCATATTATTAGCCGCTATTCCCGGAGACTTATGCCGGCCCCTCAACCGCGGCCCCGTAAGGCCCCCGGGGTCGATACATCCGCCAGAGTCCACGCGGATCGAAGACGTATCTTTCCCATCTGCGCTCGCCGAGACCTATACTTCAGCCCGGTTCGCGTTCGTGATTTTAATCGCCGGTATACGAATGTGATGACATACGAGGGAAGCTACGGTTAATAAAATATTGACGACCGTATGAAATGTGCCTCTGTTTGATTGTACACTGCCGGTTTGAGTTATCGATTGTCAAAATACGGATTATGCACATCACGCGTATATCTCCGTGTGAATTAAGAGTTACACTTTGAGCTCGCACTTGTGCACGCGT